CCATCAGGAGGTCCATCGTGATAGCGGTGCTAATCTTGGAGCGAATCACGATTTCCGCAGTCGTGATGTTGTCATGTTCGCCCAAAATCCATCGGGACCCGAAATCCCGAGCCTCCAGTCAAGGACCCAGTAGGGCACCCGGCAAGACTTGAAGGAGTTCTCCAACATCCCTTGAGAGAGATCTCCAATGAAGCAGCCTCACAATGACCAGACTGCGAGGAATATTCCAACTTCCCTCCATCAGGCATGCCTGGTTGCGGAGCGTTGCTATAGTTCGAACCCTACATGAGCATCCCCAACTCCAAACCCTAAGCCCTAGACACGAATCCGGAAGGTGCCAAGCGCCAAACTTTCCTTAAACACCTGAACCCCAAGCACTAAACCCAAAGCCTTTAAGCCCTAAGCCCCAAATGCCAGACTCCTTGATACGGGGTAGTGTATTACCCATACTATTTTGGGGGTTGCATGTTATAATTATAGTATACTGGCCCCCAAAACCCTATTCGAATCACTGATGCCCCTACATTATTGGAAGTCTCCTAGAGAGCTCCCTGGAATAGCCGGAAGGCTCGATGAGATCATGGAGAAGAGGCAAGAAACCAAAGAACGGCCTGTTCCTTACAAGGCTCTTGTGCAGGAACCTTTGGTTCAGGGTTTAGGAGTTAAGGTCTCGGGTTTAGGGTTTAGGGATCTGGGGATTTAGGGTTTAGGGATCTGGGGATTTAGGGTTTAGGGAGTTGGGGTTTAGGGTTTAGGGCTTTAAGGTTTAGGGGTTAGGAGTTCAGGAACCTAGACTCCTTAGGTATGTTTGGAGCCCGAAATCAGCTTGAAATTGCAATTGTATCTGTAATGCAATGCTGACACATATGTCATTCCATGCCATCAGTTTGATCCTACTCCGCAATGCTAACACATATGTCATTCCATGCCATGAGCTTGATCCTACTCTTGTGTTTTAGGAGGTGAGCACAGGCGATAGCCGGTGCAATGGATGTCAAGGAAGAAGAGGGTGGAGTGAAGGAAGCAGAGACGAAGACTGCAGTGACGCGGCTTTGCAGGAATACTTGAGCAGAGTTCTGCTGCCAGCAGGTAAGACACGGCCGCTAGAACAGTGCCAAATCGTGCAAGCCGAAGAGGACAGTGCACACGTGATCGAGGACTCCTCCAACTGCGGCTGTGATCTTTGCTTGCGGTTGCTCCAGCGAATCAGCGAGTGCAAGCACTGCAGCGAAGGAGTGAAGTACAAGCATGCGCCCAATTGTGAACTCACGTCGTTCGCTTTCGCTAGGGTCAGGAAGTGGTACGGCAACCAGTATGGTCTCTACATACGGCTTTTCGCTCACGAAGATGATTTGACAGGCATCACGAAAGATCAGCACGAAGCTATTTTGGAGACTGTTGTCATGGAGAGTCGCAAGCTTTCTTCCGCGGCGCACAAGCAGAAGTACCTGGACGAGAAACTTGCTCGTAAAAGTACGACTCAGAACAGCCACGCTTTTTCTCAGCCGCTCGCACCTCCTGCTGATGTTCTCTTTAACTTGGACTCTGGCGACGAGCATGTGCAGGCATGCTCTTCTGCGCCTCCGCCCTCGAAGAAGAGGGTCCAGTTTCCTAAGAAATCCAGGAAGCCCCAGAAGCCCAAGGAAACCGTTGGCTAAACCCCAAAGCCCGACCTTACACCCCAACCCCAAACCCGAAGCCTCAGCCCCAACAGCCGTAAGCCCACAGCCCTAGACGAAAACAGCTTCTGGTCTGAGCCCAGGATTGCGTGATGAGGGCTTCGACAACCCGAAACCCCTCTAAACCCTAAGCCGTCCAGCACCCTCCAAATACCTTTTCATAGAGGCCTTAAGGTCATTCATCGTGGGTACTTAGGCTCGAACAGGGGCACTTGGGGGGCGTGTTGGTGACCCGAAAGTCGAAGCTCTCATCCCTACAGAGTTAAGCATTAGACCGTAACCATTTGTCGGGGGCCCAGAAAAAGCACAAGAGCGGATGGTTTCAGGGAATCGTTCCCACAGGCCTTGTGTCTAGGTCTTTCGGCCCGAGCCCTTACGCCGTAAGCCCGTTCTCCGAAGCCAGAAACCCTAAGCTCCAAGCCCCAAGCCCTAGACCCAAAGTCTTGAAGCCTAAACCCTAAACCCAAGTCCTAAATCCGAAGCCCTAAACCCCAAGTCCTCAATCCTAAGCCCTCAACCCTAAGTCCTGAACCCTAAACCCTAAACCCTAAGTCCCTTCTTTATCAGGCCCCAAGGCCCCCGCCCCCTCTCGCCGAGGGACCTCGCAAAGCTGTACGAGGTGCTGGATGCGGCCAGAAATCCTGGAGGCTTGCTACTTGGCCTTGCTTACGAAGGTGCTTAGGGCTTGGGGTTTAGGGTTTGGGGTTCAGGGTTTGGGATTTAAGGTTTGGGGTTTAGGGTTTGGGGTTTAGGGTTCTGGGTTTCGGGTATAGGGGTTTGGGTTTTGCGGGGGCTTGGGGTATAGAGAAGTAAAGTGGGCGGGTGGATTAATCGCGCTTTAGAGAAGACATCGTTGCGGAGCTGTCGCTGGGAATCCGGCCATCTTAATCCGATCGAAAGCGAAGGTTTTGACACTTACTTCGCTTGTGACAAAAGACTTGGTGTAGTCATGTCCTGGTTTCGACTGACGGCAGTACATGGATCTGATTCATGACCCACGTCGTTCATTGTTCGCCACGCTGCTTGTTGCACTGTGTAGGCTCTTGCCAGCTTTATCACCAGGAAGGGACGCTGCCCTTTGTGCTCTCTCAGAGTAGGGGGTCGTTTTACAATTCCTCGTAAGGGTTGGAAGCACGGACTCCACGAAAGGATTAGGATTAGGTGCAAATCAAGGCCAAGGTTGCTTTGGAAAACAGCTGCCGCACCTGCAACGCGTCTCCCGCTTCGCCTGATGTTCAGAGGGGATGGGGGAGAGGTGGGGCCAGAGCCACTGAAAGGAAACCTATGGAAACGAGGGATGAGAGGCTATTGCTTATCATGCTTGGCAAGGGCTCCTTCAATCTTTCCGTGACGCTGTAGCACGCCAGTCCACCATGACATGCGCGAAGATGGACTTTTCAGAGCCGCTGAGCGCGCCCTTGAGCGCAAGGTTCACCTGTTCAACGAGAAGCAGGGAGGTCAAGTGCAGCGTGCATGCGAGCCCCTAAACCCTAAACCCTAAACCTAAACCCTAAACCCTAAACCCCTAAACCCTAAACCCTAAACCCTAAACCCTAAAACCCTAAACCCGAACCCCCTAAACCCCTAAACCCTAAACCCTGAACCCTAAACCCTAAACCCTGAACCCCTAAACCTAAGAAACCCTAAACCCGAAACCCTGATGGAGATATTTGGCGGAGGGTATTCTGCAAACCTCCCCTTCGCCTGGAGGATGACAGCTCCATCACTCTCAAACATGTAGCACGGTGGGATAGTGTTTAGGGTTTAGGGTTTAGGGTTTGGGGTTCGGCCGGTTCGCTGAATTTCGAAAGACGGCATTTGGGTTTAAGTTCGGGGCAGGTCTAGTGGCTTGGAGTTTAGGGACAAGGTTCTGGGCTTTCGATCTCCAGTTGAGCATATCAGTCTTCGAGTTCATGTGTAGCGCCCGGGTTCGATGATGATTGAGACCCTAAGCCCTAAACCCTAAAACCCTAAAACCCTAAACCCTAAATCCCTAAACCCCGCACCCCAAACCACTTGGTTTTGGGTCCATTTGAGAAGTCCGCAACGAAGTGAAGTTTTAATGTAGCCTAAATGATTGCCAATACTATTTTGGAGGCTTCTTTATTATTGATTTATAATTATAGTCTAATGGGCCCAAAAACCCTAAACCCTGAACCCTAAACCCTAAACCCTAAACCCTAAACCCTAAATCCCTAAACCCTAAACCCTAAACCCTAAACCCTAAACCCTAAACCCCTAAACCCCTAAACCCTAGAAATTATTAAGGCCCCGAGATCAGGTTCAGGCTTTCGGCATCAGGGCTCTGGTCCAAATCTTCAGCTCGAAGGCTGCAACCGTCGATCTTCGGTGCTTGAGCTTTAGGGTTTAGGGTTTAGGGTTTAGGGTTTAGGGTTTAGGGTTTAGGGTTTAGGGTTTAGGGTTTAGGGTTTAGGGTCGATCTTCGGTGCTTGAGCTTTAAGGTCTATAGGGCCCCAAGCCCTAAGCCTTAAACCGCTGAGGTCTAAATCCTAAACCTTAAGGGTTTCAATTTTTAGGGTTTCAGAGCTTAGGGTTTAGGGTTCACTTTGTGGGTTTTCTGGTCCCTGCGCCCCGAAACCGGCTCGACTGCCGACCTCACACCCCGAACCGCCAAGATATTGAAGGGTTTAGGGTGTACTTAGGGTTGAGGGTTTAGGGTTTAATTCGGGCTTAGAGTTTTTAAATAGGGTTTAGGGTTTAGGGTTTAAATCGGGTTTAAGGGTTTAGGAAGCTGCCAAAGTCTCCCGAACCGGAAAACCCTAAACCCCAAAACCCGACAGCTCACAAAGGCTGATGGTCAAGATGGATGAGATGGAACTGGGCGACTTCGCCCCCTAGGCTGCAAACTGGGATAGAACGCAAATCCCAACGCAGATTTTCTAACAACCTCACCAGAAGAGTTGATATGATGTAGAGGCTTTTTTGTTAGAATAGGCTATTGGGATATATCATACCAGAATTATGATTAACAAGGAGCCCCCCCCCAAAATAGAATTAGTAATTAATTATTTGGGCTATTACATTACGGGTTGAAATAATTGCCACTAGGAGTCGTAAGGGTTCCGTGTTATGATTCTGGAACCAGAAGCCCTATTGCAACTACTGAGGCCCCTATATTATTAGGCTGTGGCCCCTGAATAATTACCAATACTATTCCGTAGGGCTCAGAAGACCGACGCAGTGTCGGATGGCTGGTAGCCCCAGCACGGTAGGCATTCCCTAGCTACGACCGTGCGATCGTCTCCCACCTGGCATCGACGTGAACGCAGAAGGCGTTCCCTGACCAGATCTAGGCTAAAGGCCGGCCACGAGGTGGCCAGACGACGAGTGGTTGCCTTGTTACGGCACCACGGAACCAACCCAGAGTTGCGCTCGAGTCTCCGGCTCCGCATGGGCAGAGGCAAGAAATGGCAGCAAGCAGGGGCCGATGCAGGTCAGGGATCCGTGCCCTGGCGTGGCCAATACTGGAGTGGAGCATGGTCGCCTTCGCTGCAAACTCACAGGAGCGCCGGCAGCTACGATCGGGTCACAGTTCCAGTGGATACAGCCCCGCCAGCGGGCTTGGATTCAGCGATGCCAGGGGACTCCCGTGGTATGACGGAACTGCACAAGACGGTGACCTATGCGAGAAAGCTGGACACCAAAGTGAGGAAACTTGGGGAAGAACGTCTTCGCAGGACCAAGCAGTGGGAGATTTTCGCCAAGGAGGCGAAGGCCAAGTTCCTCAAGCAGCGGCGCGAGTTCGAGCAGGACCTCCAGCGGATAGATCAGGAAGTCCGCGAGGCAGTGGATGCCGGCAGGGAGGCAGCAGAGAAGGCCAAGACGATAGTCACCCGAGGGGTGGATGCCGTGATCCCGAGAAAAGCTCCAATGGCAGTCGACCATTGGGGGGAGCTCTTCCGAGAGGAGGAAGGCGACCCACCCGGAGAGCTGCTCTCACAGGTACTAGCTGCAGCCAACCATGCAGCGACAGGCGGGAGGCTCGGACAGGTCCGCCCGGAGATCCTACAACAATTGGCGAGCCTGATTGGTGCGGCCCAAGGAGGGGTTTCGCCCGCGGGGAAGCGCCCGCTCCTCTACCGACCGCGACTGGGCAGGTCGAGGCACACCCGGGAGTGTTTGGGGCTCCGGAAATGCCGCCGGACACCCGCTTGCCAGACTCCAGCCATGCTACCTATTTTGGTCCGCATTCTCCGAATTCGGCAGAGCTTGGAGGATTGAACCATGGGGTGGCCGAGACGAGGGCTTCCCCACTACACCCGAAACAGAGAGACCCCAATCAAGCCAGAGTTCCCCCAGCAGAGCACCCACCGAGAAAGGGCATCAAGGCCGCAACAAGGCTTCCGCCACAACCGGTTGTGCACCCTCGGGCAGCCAGCCCCGCGGACAAGATCGAGAGGAGCAGGGAAGAAGAGATGAAGAAAGCCTTGCTACCCTTCGGGGGAGTTCCGAGGCCCAAGCCTTCCCCCTTCGAGGAAGACGACGACGATTTGGATGTGCCGGAATCCGGTGGTGGCACAGCAAGTGGTCTGCAGGCTTTGTCTTAGTACTTAGGAAGGAGTCGCGGACAGGGACTCCAGACGGCCACGTGCTCGGCAGGCTGTTGGACCAGGTTGATTCTCTGTCACCCTCGGTGACAGGATTTGACCAGTTGTCTTTCGGTCAATGCCGTTTATGTGGAATTCTGGACTCGTATGTCTGGGGACTCCTTCGGTCTCAAGCCTCCATGTGTACAGATTTTGGGTGTCCTGTACATAGTGTGGCCGCGGCCCGGGCACTCAGGGGTACAATCAGCGGCTTTTTCAGGATGGCAACGAGTCGGTGTCTTCCCTGCGAAGTTGCTTTTGGGCTCTTGGATTTCTGTGGGCGCCAAGCTCTCTCTCCACCGGCCCTCTCTCAAGTCACTGGTTCCTCGCATTCGAGTAAGGGCTTTGTATGGCTCTCCTCAGCCGTTCATACGAACAATTGCGCCTTGATTTATGGCAGCACTTCGTATTATTTGCTTTATGTCGTTCTTCGAGATCGCACAGATGAGTGCGGTGACCGTTCTCCTCCGTCGGATGTGTGCTTGTGTGCACTTTCCCGACCATTCAATGCCTTTTTCGCATGCAGGCCGCAGGGTTCAGCATGCTTTCCTCGAGCGCTAAAGAGACGCATCGGTAGCTCAGGGGCGTCCGCCGAGGTTTGTGATGTAGAGTTTATCGGCAGAGGAGACGGTGTGGCGGATGGTCCAGGCCAAGATCCCTTTGAAGCCGCAATCCGTGGACTTCTGCGTTGGGCTGAGGGAGCAGCCGTTGCGTTTGTTCTCAGTGCCCTGGCCTTGCTTACTGCAGTTTTGGTGCAAGCCCTGGTGCGAGCCCCTTCGGTTCATTCCTCTCCTCTAGGGCGCGCCCTGGCTTTTCCCCTGCGAGGTTTGAGCACGAAGCCGCTCCGAGCCTTTGCTTGTTGTAGTACCAGCAGGCCTGTACTCGACTGGGCTCCTCAGGGTGACAGAAGGACCAGTAGAACTAAAACGCTAGGTGCTCACGCCGTCAGAGGCAAAGGCGGCAGGCTTGCAAGAGCGGCTGCTTGGTTGATTGGTTTTCTGACTTGGCCGCAACCGGTGCATGCAGGTCCTTGGGCCCTCCATTTTGCTGTGTTCGCGTTGTCTCCTTCCCATGTATCAGCCATGGGTCGACCACCCACAGACCGAGCTCCCACGACTGACAGCATAAGTGTGCGTAGACCGCATGATATTCCGCCTGATGAGCTCACTGCACACGTTGGCACAACACGTGTTGATTTGGATTGGGAGGACTCCCGTGTTGTTCCGCCCCCGGAGCCCAGGCTACTCATGCAATTACCCCTTCACCACGAATCCAGGGAGGATGATGGAGACTGGCTGGGGGTGTGTATCTACACGCCTCACTACCGGCCTGTCATGTGTGCAGTCAAGCCTGGTGATGGGGGTTTTCAAGCTGTTGTCGATGTTATTCTGGATCAGGCCCCCGGCGTCCCGTCCAGAGTTTTCGATACGGTTGTTCCCCTCCGGCCCCAGCGCTTTAGCGGGTATGCCAGTTTTGTGCGCACCAGCTGCACGATCCGTAACAGCGGCCCTGATGGCCAGGCGGCAGTCGTTTTGGATCTGTCCACAGTTGGCGGTCGTTACTTTGCAACGGTGCTGCCTGCAGGCTTGCATTTGCAGACCTTGAGGCGTATGTTGTGCCACTCACCTCCGATGATGACACGCCTCTTCTGTACTATGTCGGGCTCAGGGCCAATCCGTGGCCTTCTCAAGCATGCTTGGATCTTCGGGATGGGGACGTGATCACCGTTGTCCGAGCGACAAGTCCGGACATTCATCGCCTCCACATTGAGACCATCTTTGCGCCCGGGGCACACTGGGATCCCTTGCACCATATGATCAGAGTTGGCGAAGGTGAGGCGCTTTGTGTCTTGCATCAAGAGAGCCGGTACTGCTTCTCGAACTGGCATCATTACGGGGAAACAGCTACAGACTTCATTGTCGCTCGTCTCCGCCTGCAGCCCTCCCGAACGGTCATGTGCACTTTTGCAGGCCTGGACTTGGACGTGCAAGGTACCTGGTGTCAATCGTTGGTCGCTGTGCATGATCAGGTCGAGGAGCAGACATTCTCTTCTTCCGGTGTCTCAGGCAGGGATTACTTTGTGCTGTGTGACCTTCGTCCTTTAGGGCATAGGCCTGTTTTCGCGCACACTCATTTTCCTGCGGTACACATCCCAAGCCTTGCAGCTCGGTATGACATAGGCCTCCCTGTCACGCATCGTATCGGGGTTGCCGGAGGTACCAGGGAACCTGATGATAGGTCGCGTCACAGTTCCTCTAGCAGCGTGCAGGCTTCTCCCCTCGCGGAACCAGAGCCCGAAAATTTAGGTGGGGAGCCTCCAATGCATGGCGCTCCAACTCATGTTGGACAAGGGGCTGCTCCAGCTATCGCTACCTACGAGGATGCTTGTGAACAGGCTGAAAGAGAGCGCTTCCTTGTTTCGTGGCAGGACGGTTTGGGAGATCAGGCCCAAGAGACAAGTCAAGCCTGGGTTGATCCCCTGAGATTGATGGATACGTCGATTCCGGAAGGTCACAGTTGGAACACAGCTTCGATTACTGGACCAGACCTTTCATCCCGCCCATGTGTAGGCCATTCCCCCGACGGCAGTGAAATGTCAGGGTCCAGGGCCCAACATGTCGACGCATCTTTCCCTCCCTTTATGTCAGCAGATGGCCCTCCAGCAGCCCTTCTCCCTGCCGCCCCGGTTACTGTTCCTGATGCAGACATGCCGGTCGCTGGCCGGGAAGCGTGGACAGGTTCAGGTTTGAGGCAGGGGGGTACCAGTGAAGACCCATTTGTGGAGGCCTTCTCAGACTGCCCGATTACAGCGTATGTCTTCGCTCCAGGTTTTCTGCCTGAAATCCTCGACCTAAGGATTCGTGTGCCATGTGGAGTTGACGGGGCCATGCGCTTGGTGCATGCTGCCAGGGACGTTGGTATGTCCCGAGCCTTTCCATGCCTCGTGCCTGCTGCCCTGCAACCAATGGTGCAGCACATGGGGTTTATAGCGGTGCCGGCTTGGACGCAACACTTGTGTACGGTGCTTGTCGACTCTCGACGAGTTGATGCGCGGTTCTTCGCTGTCAGTCTTCCCACGCCCCTTACCAGAGAATCCGCTCTTATAGGTTCGGGCTTTCCCACTGATGCCGAGGTTTCGGTATTTGTTCATGGCCTCGTGCAGCCTTTAGCGCTTGGACAACGGATTGCCTTGCGACAAGGTATGACCATCACTCTTACATTTGTAGGTACTGGTGCCCCTGCAGGTTTTGACCTGGCCAGCATGTTACAGACAGTCGAGGGATGGGATCGCAATGGCCCTTTTCCAGGTTTGCCTGCCAATATTGGCAATCGTTTCCTGATTCTCACTGATGCGCAGCCGTGTGTTTTCGAGATCGCTTCTGGGAGACGACACCGTGGCAAGGAAGACTTGGCCACCAAGCTTTCCAGTGAGCCGCATCGACTTACCTTCAAACCCGTGGTGCCCAGTGTCACCGATGGCATGCATCTTGGGTACCCCCTGACAGGAGTGATCGTCGTGACAGAGCGCCTTCAAACAGTCCCGTTTCCGCCTGCCAGGTTTCCCGACAATAGGCTCATAGTCGTGCTCGACTGCCGTCGCATCCTCATGGGTTTTAGGTGGGTCTTGCTCGCCACACCGACTGTAAGCCTACGAGAGCTCACAGAGATTGTCAGAGATTCCTGCCCGCAGGGCTATGCCGTTGCAGTCAATGGTCTACAGGATGGAAACACGAGATCGGTTTCTACTCTTACGGTCAGCATGGGTTCAGTCCTGACTTATGAATTTGTACGGCCCAGTCAGTACTTGGACGGTAGTCGCATAGAGGAGGTAGCCGGAGTTACCTACAATGCTTCCCAGAGTCACGAGTGCAGCACAGCCGTGCAAGCGGCCCAGCCATCCGCGCTGCCTCAATCCGAGGACCACAGAGAAGGCCCTGCAAGAAGCCGTTCGCCGCGGGTGTCTACCACTGGGGGGCCACCCGGCGCCGTCGCGTGTGGCGTGCTGTTGGGGCAGATGCCTCGGGCAGGCCCTATCTCATGTTGACTTTGGTACTGTCCTTCTTACTTCCTCTGGCTTGGATGGCCTTCAGGTGTTATGCTGGGGAGTTGTGGTGTGCTGCCTTTGCGTACTTACGGCCTGGAGCATTTGGCGCCTTTACCGCGACTACAGCGGAGGTCCAGGCTGGTCCGCTTTGTGCGAACCTTGGTGTCGTGGTGTCAAGGAGCCCTTGCATTCCTTCAGTCCGTTCAACATCACTCAGTGCCACAGCTCGACCATGCGTATCCACCTTTGTGGCCGGCGCAGCATGCCTCTGTTTGGTCACAGCAGCTGCCCTCATGTACTCACTCGAAAGTTGGTTGACTTTCAGTTCCGTCGTCTCAGGCAGGTGCAAGCAATCTCATGCCACACTGTTGCAGAGGTCAACCGGATCTCGGAGCTGTGCAGTATCACTCGGAGCCTTGGTCTGCCAGCTTTGCCCACGCCGCAATGGGCAGACGGGTCCCCATTTGCTGAACGTGGTTCCAGTGCGGTCAGTTCTGATGAGGACGCAGTTTCTGCCCACATCGCGTGCGCTGTGCTTTGCCCTCTCTATGACATGGAGCGCTACGTCCATACTGTTGACGTACCGGCCGGCGTTCCTGGGTTTTTAGGAGCACTCGATGCCATAAGGGTCCCAGCAGCCAAAGATCGTTTCCCGGAGTTGGTTCCTGTCTGGCCGCAACCGGACATCCGGTGGGCGACTTTTCTAGCGGTGCGAGCTTTGCGAGGCCGCTGGCCTCGCTGCCCAGGCTGAGGTCGAGGTATATGTGGGGTCCGAGGCTGCCGCCGCAGGAGTGCCCCTTCAGCTGCACACTGGCTTGCGAGTTTCCTTCCTTGATCTTGGCGCAGAGCCAGAGGCTCCTTACACTTTGGGGAACTCACTTGCCGTGGGGGCCGGCTCCGGCTTTTCCAGGGGGCCCATATGACGACACCTATTAATTGTCTCGTTCAGGAAGCCGGATTCTTTGCGTTCCGCTTGTTCCCACATAGAGCAGTCTTTTACAGACAGGACATCGCAGTTGCCACCGGTGCACATGGGCTATGGTTTCGCAGGGGTGATGCTGAGGTGTTTGTGCAGCTTGGATACGGATTCCTGGCGAAGTACTTGGAGGTTGCCTATATGGCTTTGTCACGACGACGAACGAGATTCAAACTGACCCCGAAGTACCACGCATTAAACCATATTAGTGATTATGTGCGAGACGACATGCTCAAATATCCTCTGGCTCAGTGGCTGAGAAATCCAACCACATGGTCAGCTCAGCAGTGTGAAGATTTCACTGGGCGGGTGAGCCTCCTCAGTACAGCTGTCAGCTCTCGAACTTGCCACCGGCAAGTTATGTGCAGATATGCAGTCAATCTGTGGAAGTCGTGGTAGGGCAGAAAAATCCGATAGAGTCGCATGGTGTGTGAGGGATCCAAGGTTTGAATTAGAATATGGGTCTCTACAAACAAAGTTCGGAGCGCCCCTCGAATTATAAGCGATTATCATATAGATTACCCCATAAGCCCGAAAGGCAGCTAAACAACGAACGACAAAAATGCCACTAGCACGGAAAACTAGCAACTTTCAGCAGTGGCAATTATTTCTGCAACTTGGTTTTCCAGGTTGTGCACAGTTCGCTGCGTCTTACGCCGGTCCCTTCCGCCGTTTCCCCGGCCGTGCTGGGCATCCCATGCCGATCGGTTGTTCTTGCCAGCAGGTCTTTCAATGACTCTCGGATCAGGGATGCAACGATTGAGTGTGCTGGCGACCTCCGCGCTTTGCTGTGAGGTTGGGGAGCCTTCTCATGCCCCGAGGGCAGGCTTTCTTGGACGCAAGTCGTGCACTTGTGTGGAGCCGCCCCTGATGGATGGAGATTGTGTAGTGATCCTCGGTTTGGGTCCCAGGAGTTCTTGCCAGTGCAGCGAGGGCATTGTGTAAGGTTTTTCTTGCAGAGGAACATTGATACGCCTATCGCTGCTGACCACGGGGTTGTTGCCGGTCAAGTTGGGGCCGCCGCGCCCGCGCAGGACACTGCTGCAGAGGCTTCTGATGGGGCGGCGGCAACAGCTGCGCCGCTTCTGAGCGACCAGTCGAGCGCGGGCCCCCCAACAGACGGTGCTTCAGCTGTGCGTCCACACGGGCTAGGGCAGGCTCGGGGCACAGGCCATGCCCCCCCTTATGCCAGGTCACCACGGAGTGGATTATCGGGTCAGCAGGCCCTTTGTCAATGCACAGGCAAGGAAGCGAGGGTGTTCCAGTTCCATCTCCGGGAGGTGGATCATCTTCTTCATCTTAGCTTGCATTCCAGTTGTCGCACATTCGGTGTGCCCGCCCACGCTCCCAGTCGTTGATAGGTCTGCTGCTGCCCGCACGCGCACATCAGCCCGGAAATGGCAAAGGGGTAGAAACCCTTCTCCGCCTGGCATTGCCGGTCGAAGAGCTCATGCGCGACGAGGAGAGATTCGCAATCTCCACTGCGCGGTCCCGGTTTTGGACCTGGTGCTGCGGAACTCGAGGAGCAAGAAGAGGGTGGTAGCAGTAGTGGGTTTGTAGGCCCCGGTCCAGCGCACACCTGGCCAGACTTGCTGAGAAGCGTCGCCACGCCACAACGCTCGCAGCCTCGTACCAGGACCAGTGGCGCGGCATATACCCTTCTTGAGCACAGTGTTTGGCAAACAAAAAGCCGCGTCATGCTCGAGGCATGCGTGGTTTTGGAGGCCCCCTGGGAGCATTTTGTCACTAGGCGTCAGGATATACCTTCAGTCATTGGTGAGGCCGACTCTCATGGAGCTGACATTGGGCCGACCTGTGGGTCTGGGCCAATTGCACTTGATTTGGACACTTGTCTCCCTCCCAGTGCTTTTCAATCGGCCGCTGCCAGGCTGCAGGCCATAATCCCTGATCCCAGTATTTCTTGCGTGTGGAACGGGGACGCCCCTCTAGACTGGCTCGATAATGATTTGCGCCCGCTTCTCCGTGATCCTGCGGTCCCGTCTGTGTGGTTTCGGCGTTTTTCAGAGATACCTCTGTGGCAGGGACATGCGGATTGGCAGGCGCTAACTCACCTTGAGATCTACACTGACGGGTCAGCAGCTGGGGGCCAGAGTGGTGCATGGCATCTTGGCCCTGCCGCATGGGCTTTTGCTGTTTGGGCTGCCACGCCCGCAGGACGCTTTCTGGTTGGTTTCACTTTAAAGCAGCGCTCATGCCGGGGTTCCTCCGGGTACGCCCTTCTTTTTGGGTGAAGGCGCTGATACGTCGTTGGAATCCGAAATGCTGGCCTTGGCTTGGGCGCAGATCTGGGCACTGCAATTTGCGGCGGGTTTTCAGGTTCCGGTCTTCTTTTACTACGACGCTTTGAGCGTTGGTGCCGGAGTGCTAGGATGCCAGCACTTGGCACTTCGGATGCCCCGTCGGCCTTATCTGAGTTTGTTTCCCTGCTGCGACAGGCCCTTACCGCTCGTGTAGCGGTCGGGCATCGGCATGTCAGAGGCCATGCCGGTATTCTGGCCAACGAGCTCGTGGATGAACTGGCCAAGAGAGCGCGCAGAGAGCCAGAAGATCTGTATGATCGCTGCTTACCAGAATGGCCGGCTCAATGGGCGGCACGCATCATAGCTCACCCTACCTCCCATCCTTGGTCGCGCTGGAGGCGGAGGCAGGACGCATGCAGGCTGAAGGGATCTCCAAGGTGGCTGCCCCAGTTGCAGGTCTACAAGAGGTTAACCTCCGGCCGATGCAGGTTGCTTACAATTTGCATCTCGTTTCCCTCAATGTCTTGTCCATGTTTGAGACTGATGCCCCCAAAGGTCGCAAGCAAAGAGTCCCCCAAGCAGGGATGCTGGTGGCAGGGAAGAAAGACGTTCTACGTGAGCAGTTTTCGCGAGCCCAGATTTGGGCGGCAGGTCTGCAAGAGACCAGATTGCCAGCCAGCGGCGTGCTCCCGGATCGGGATTTCTACATCCTTAACACGGCAGCCACGGCCTCGGGATGCTACGGCTGTTCTTTGTGGCTCAGTCGTTGTTGTCACTAGCGAGTCGCCTCGGCATATCCAGGTGCAAGTCGAGGCTCCCCGGCTCAGCATTACCATTCTTGTGGCACGCTGCCCACGATACCTAGGGGAGGGACAGGAAGCTCGAGAATTCTGGGACTCGCGAGCCCAGGAAGTATGCAATCGGCCGGAGCAGTCCGAATTGATTGCTATGATTGACTCCAACAGTCATGTTGGCTCCGTGCACACCGAAGCCGTAGGTGGACTTGACCCAGAGGAAGAGAATGAGGCCGGAGCCCTCTTCCACACTTTTCTCTTGCGGACTGGTCTCATGGCCCCGTCTACTTTTCCAGAGTATCATACGGGGCAGTCTTGGACATGGGTCTCAGCGCGAGGAGACGATGCCCGCTACCGTCTGGATTTTGTCTGCATACCGCAATCTTGGGCTGATTTCAATATCAGCTCACGTGTCTGGACAGAGTTCGAGGCTTTGCAAGCAAGAGACGACCATTATCCTGTTTGGGCCCAGGCAGTGTTCGGCAGGGCGGCACCAGCCGCTCGTTACACAGTTCATCGACGTAGGGCTTGTCGGCCGAAGACCGCCGTGCGGTGGTGGGAGGTCCAAGGTTTCACCGACAGCTTCAACCGATTGGGGCTTCCGCACTGGACCGTTGATGTGGACTCCCACCGCGATCAGGTGTGCAACGCCCTCAAGACTGTGGGTAGGGACTTGCAAGAAGATAGGGAGGTTTCGGCTCAACAGCCCTTTCTTACGGCAGGCACATTGCAGGTCATTAAGCGCAGGGCAGCCGTGCGGGCATATCTGCGGAGGCTTATGGTTGCTTTTGCCGCCTTTATTCTCCATACTGAGGCTTTTTGCCGCCTTTATTCTCCATACTGAGGGTTCAGTTTTCTCTGTTGCTGCCCTAGGCCGGGCACGGGAGTGGCTGCAGGACATGTACCACAGCATTGCCAGAGCGTGGGACATGTTGGGGTGGCTTGCCTCCTCAGTCCGTGCAGCGGTCAAGCGGGACCGCATGGACTACCTGCAACGACTCGCCGACAATGTTTCCCTGCAAGATCTTCGCAACCCGAAAGCCTTATACAGATCGGTCCGGCGTGCATTTCCTCAGGCGCGGTCAGCCCGCAGACCTGCCTTCCAGCCTTTGCCGGCGGTGCGCCTAGCAGACGGCAGCCTTGCCAGGGACCCATTGGCGAAGGCCGAACGGTGGACTGCTTTCTTCGCCGAACAGGAAGCTGGAACCGTAGTCTCGACAACGGAATATGAAAGCCGTTTTTCTCGGGGCCCCATTGACCCTTCCAGGTTGGGCTTTGTCTTTGACCCCGCAGCTCTTCCCACTCTTCACGAGGTCGAGCAACAGGTCATTTGTTTGCGGCCTGCCAAGGCTGCCGGCCCGGACGGTGTTACAGCTGAGCTGCTTAGGTGCACACAGCCTTTGCTTCCCAGCTGATGTATCCCCTCTACTTGAAGACGGCCCTTAGGTTGCAGGAGCCTGCAGTCTGGAGGGGTGGGGCCCTCATGTGCCTCGCGAAGAAGGCGGGGGCCCTCATGTGCCTCGCGAAGGAGGCGTCCACTCTTTTTGAGTGCAAGGCCTTTCGTTCGATCTTACTAGGCAGTGTGCCCAGTAAGGTGTACCATCGAATCCTGAGAGATAAGCTCATGGCCTCTTTCGCCACTGTCCGAGCGGATTTGCAGGCTGGGCAGATGCCGGGAATTGGTGTCGAAAGCATCTCCTTGATGGTGCGGTCCTTTCAGGCGCGGGCTCGGAAGGATGGTCAAAAAACCGCACTAGTGTTCTTTGACGTGAAGGCCTCGTTTTACATGACCTTGCGTCAGGCATTGGTACCCTCCGCTTCTGATGATGTGGCCCTTCGAGCTCTGTTGCAAGGTTTGGGTGTGGGCGGAACTGCATGACCATCTTACGGCAGCGGCACACATCGCTGAGGCGGGTGCTTACGGCAGCGGCACACATCGCTGAGGCGGGTGCTGGAGCACACCTTACCTCCATGGTCGCAGACCTTCTGCGTGGG